CTCGGGAGTCATAATGATTATCCAGTCTAGAGCATGGTTTCACCCAAAAAAAAAAAAAAAAAAAATGGAAATCTATGCTAGCGCATAGCTTATCTGTTCAAAGTAGCACGTTTGTTAGGCAGTACTGTCTTTTTGTTTTCTTCTTCTTTTATTTTTATTTTTATTTTTATTTTTAAATAGCATAGACAACCAAACCTTTTGAGTGATTAATTTTGTGTATATTTACCAATTACTCTAATTACTAGGTAAGACTTCACCTAAGATGGTAGGTGTGGCGATGATGCAAGTAGTTTAATGCAATTTCATTTTGTTAAAAGAGAATTTAGTAGGGTAGTGTAGATTAAAAACTAAAAGATGGTTGTTTTTTTATTATATAATTAAAATTAAAAAAAAAGATTTTCTTTTCAATTATAGAAGAATTAAGAAATATTCATTCTTTAAAGAAATGTAGATAATACATATTTCATACTCTCTACTCAAATTAGCAGAAAATGACTTCTTCACAAAATTTCTCATTTTTATCTTAATTTTTAAGTTTGATGTAATAGTCTTGTTCACTGTTTGCTCATTCTTTATTCCTTAATGTCCACCACTGCTAATTCTAAGTCCTGAAGATTGCATTTGGAATGAGAGATGCATAATTGCTTCACAAGACAAGAATGTGGGAGTCGGATTATTAAGATTTTGAAGTTGACCAAAAAAACTGATCATGAACAATTTCTCTCTCTGGAGTTTTTCTTCAAACATTTATACTCTAGGAATCAAAACTACTGTGCAGATATGAGGATAATTAATTCTTCTGTTAATTCTATGGATTTGACATGACAGCAATGTTCCCCCCTCCGTTCATTCCAATGTCTAGGCAGTTGTCACCAGGCCCACAATCCATGCCAGCTGATCCTATCCTGATGATGACGGCGTGGAAGAGCAACAACCAGAAAGAAAAAGTCCCAAGACCTTAAAAAATCAAAGTCGATTCCAAAATGATCAGTCGTTGCTCAATATTAAATTGGATTCTGACCCTCCATAATTTTTTTAAAGTTTTTATCCCTAAAGCTTCCACTATTCTTTCGTCCTCTTTTTCTTCGTTCCTTCATTTTTCACTATCGCGGCAATTTTTAACTTGGAAGAAGGCAGAGTTGACTAAGACATCTCTCCCACATACCATTCAAAGTCCATAGATTTTAATTGAGGCTCCAAGGACTTATCATTCTAACAGACATACTTTTGATCTGCAAGTGAGGAAGAATGGGAGGAAGAGCAACAGCGGTCGCCCTTCTCTGTTTTTGGTGTTTTCTGGTTGCTTCTTATGCCGCTGCTAATATTCTACAGCAAGGTAGGCCGCTCAGATATTGGCAGCAACTGGAATCACCCAATAAACGGTTCAAGTTAGGTTTCTTCGTGCCTTACTGGCAACAGGATTCCGGTTCTGTTGATCAATCTTTCTTGGGAATATGGTACAACGACGAAAGTTGGTCCCAAGAAAGCGAAGAAGACTACCCAAGAATATCCTTGCCACCTGTATGGGTTGCAAACCGAGACAATCCAATCTTGATGGGTGTCGGAGTTCTCTCAGTTGGCAGCAATGGAGGCCTCCAGATTTCATTTGCTGAAACAAAGGTGATCGTTTCCTTGTACTCAACTCCAGCTTCGATTAACGCCAGTGCCACTCTGCAGGATGATGGTAACTTCGTACTGCGGGAGCTGGATTCAGATGGATCTGTGAAGCGGATTCTGTGGCAAAGCTTTGAACATCCCACCGACACTCTTCTTCCGGGCATGAAACTGGGAATTACAACAAATCTGACATCGTGGAAGAGTTACAATTCACCTGCCTCTGGCTCTTTTACCCTCCATGTGGATCCCAATAAACAACAACTCGTCATACGGAAGCAAGGGGTTGAAATCTGGAGTAGCGGAAGTTGGCGAGAGAGCAGTTTTGACTTTCAATCTTTTTCTGGGATTGATTATGGTTTGAACTTTAGTTTCTTTCAAAATGGAAGCCAAACTTACTTCACTTACACATACACTGCAAGGCACGACTATTCTTATTTCCCAGGAATAAGAATAGGCATTGGTGGTCAGCACTACATGTTATCTGGTAGCGAGGACTACTTGTTCGTATCAACTTTATGTTCTCAATCTTACAACGCCAAAAACTACAGTAAATGCATAAGGCATACTCTTCCCATGTGCAGGAGAAATTTTAAGGTTCAAATCTTCTCACGACATTATGGATCAATGTCAAGAGATGGATTCACAATCCGGAACAGTGACGACCTGAATATTGAGGGTTGTAGGAATAAATGCTTGTTAAACTGTAATTGTCTTGCTTATGCTACAATCAATAATCAGGACAATAACAAGACAGGTTGTGAAATTTGGACATCAAGAGCAGAATTAAAACCAGCATCCGATGGGAAAGGCCGTGTCATTTACATCCTTCATTCCAAAGGTGAGTTATCTTTATTCTCCAAAGTGCCTACTTATAGCATATTAATTGACATATTGCCGCTTAGATGTTTTAGTGGTAAAGAATCTAAAGATGTTAGTCCATTGATTTCAGAGAACAAATGGTTACTTGGGCTTACTTTTCTAGTTGGAGCAATGATGATCCTACCCGCTTTGTGCTCTATCTGCTATATCATCTGGAAACAAAGCACATCAAATGGTAAGTTTCTCACTCTGGGACATGTTTTCTCGTTGGGTTTATCATTAATTTTGCTCTGTCTTAGCAACCATTTCCAGAACTCTGAATGGTTGAAATTTTGATTAGGTGATGAAAACATTAAGCAGAGGACACTATTAAGAGAGCTGGAAGGTGGTGAAGCGAGTTCTATCTCATTTGGAGAAGCAAATAGTCTAAAGAAAGATAGAAATAATGAGCTGCAGGCCTTCAGCTTCGAAAACATTGTCTCTGCAACAAACTATTTTTCACTTGCAAATAAACTAGGAGAGGGTGGCTTTGGACCAGTTTATAAGGTAATATTTGTCACAAGTCAGAACTATGAACTTGCATAAGAGATTACTAAAGTAGGATAATTTCAGGGAATCTTACATGATGGGCGAGAAGTAGCAATAAAGAGACTCTCCACGGGTTCAGGACAAGGAGCAGCAGAATTCAAGAATGAAGCTGTACTAATTGCAAAGCTTCAGCATACTAATCTTGTGAGGCTTCTCGGCTTTTGCATTCAAGTAGAAGAAAAGATATTAATCTATGAGTATATGCCAAACAAAAGTTTGGACTACGTTCTCTTTGGTAAGAAGTCTGTTTCGATTAATCATTTGAATTGTCTCACTTACCAGCTGATGGAATTCTTGCTAAGCTACATTTTGACAAGCAGATCCTAACAAGAAGAAAATGTTGAATTGGAAGAGACGATTCTTTATCATTGAAGGGATTGCTCAAGGGCTACTTTATCTACATAAATATTCAAGATTGAAAGTCATTCACAGAGACTTGAAGGCTAGCAACATTTTACTTGACAATGAAATGAATCCGAAAATATCTGATTTTGGGATGGCTAGAATAGTTGGACTGAATGAATCTGAAGCAAATACAAACAGAGTTGTTGGAACATAGTAAGTAGTTTTCTATTTGGTCTCATCTACTTGTCTTCTTGTATTTGAAATTTTTTTTCCCCTCTGAATGTTGAAAATTTATGTTCTAGTTTTTTTTTTTTTATCAACTAAAATTTTAGATTATAATTACTTTTGCAGTGGGTATATGTCTCCAGAATATGTCTCCCAAGGCATTGTTTCATTCAAAACTGATGTGTTTAGCTTTGGAGTTCTATTGCTGGAGCTTGTAAGTGGGAGGAAGAATACTACACGTTATCGTCCTGACCTTCCTCTCAAGCTTACAGGATATGTAAGTGCCCTTCCTAATTTTAAAATTTTTGAATAAACATAATGTCACACCTTAAGGCGAGTTTTTTTTCTTTATTGCATGTCCATTCCTATTTCCAACAGGCGTGGCACCTATGGAATGAAGGTAGAGGTTTAGAGTTAATGGATCCTAGCGTGGATGAAGTTTGCCCTTATGATCAAATATTAAGATGCATCCATATTGGCCTCTTGTGTGTACAAGATCATGCTGAAGATAGACCCACCATGTTTGATGTTGTGGCAATGCTTTCGAACGAGACAATTCCGCTGCCAGAACCAAAAAAGCCAGGGTTTTTCACCACCAGTGCGGTTCAGGAAGAAGCAGGTGTTCCTGGGATTGGGCCAGATATCTGTTCCATAAATCAAGCATCAATTTCAGTGATGGAACCTAGATGATTGAGAGACAGTAACTGACTCTGCTATGATTGCAAATGTTAGCGTTATGTTACTTCTTTATACAGGTTTTGTTTTGTAATTCTAATACTAATATTTGTATAAACTGAATAACGTTGAAATTCTGTACCAAATGATCTTTTGTTTCCTATCAATTCTACATAACCAAACAGAGTATAAAACTTTGCCTGAGAATGCTGTATTCTGCTACCATCCTTGTCAATACTGTGAAGATTGAAGACTGCATTTTCATTTTTACATTTTTCAGCCATTATTTGAAATGCTCAAGTTCATTTTTATTTTTTATTTTTAAGTATTTCACTTTTTTTTTTCCATCATTATTCTCATAAAAATGTTTTTATAGTTGACCTGTAAGGAAAAGGTAAATGCTTACAAAACTATTTCTCACCAGCAAATAAGCTAGGTGATAATTTCAGGGAAGATTACATGATGGGCAAGAAGTAGCAATAAAGAGACTCTCCATCAATTCACGACAAGGAGTAGCAGAGTTCAAGAATGAGGCTCTACTAATTGCAAAGCTGCAGCATACTAATCTTCTGAGGCTCTACTAATTGCAAAGCTGCAGCATGCTAATCTTGATAAATGACTTAATGTCATAAAAAATTCCTAAACTTTATAAAAAGAGTCATTATCACCTCTCTACTTAAAAAAAGTTCACAGATAATCCCTCAACGTTGGACAAAAAGTCAACCATCATCTTTCCATTAATGGAAATTATAACACCATCATCTCCTGTCAACGCCGTCCATCTTTAGTGAAACGCTCTATTATCTTATAATTTTACACT